GGCAAAGTCCTTAGAATGGCTCTCCAAGACTGTATAAAAGCTTAAACCCCATCTCACCCTAACCCAATTTACTATTGCACTTTCATGCTCATTCCATTCTAGCCATAATTGGCAGAATTCACAGGTTTGCCTCAACACCTTGAAACTATTCCCTCTGCTTGAAATGCTTTTCAGATATTAACATAGCTACTTCTCCTTTAAATCTTTACCTAAATATCACTCTCTCAAGGATACTCTCCCAGTATACCTCACTTTAAATTGTAACCTCTTCCTCAACAATTCCAAATTCCCCTTACTCTACTCCACTATCTAAAGCATTTACCTTTCAACATTCTACATTTTTATTATTATTTTAGACGGAATCTCCCTCTGTCACCTAGGCTGGAGTGCAGTGGCACCATCTCAGCTCACCATAACCTCCGTCTCCCAGGTTCAAGCAATTCTCCTGCCTCAGCCTCCCAAGTAGCTGGGATTACAGGTGCCTGCCGCCACACCCAGCTTTTTGGGTTTTTTTTTTAAAGTAGAGATGGGGTTTTACCACGTTGGCCAGGCTGGTCTCCAACTACTGACCTCAGGTGATCCACCCACCTCGGCCTCCCAAAGTGCTGGGATTACAGGTGCGAGCCACCCCACTGGGCCAGAACATTCTATATCATTTATTATCACCCCTCATTAGAATGTAAACTCCACAAGGGCAAAATTTTGGGTACACCAAATACCCCTAGTGTGCCTACATTTGGCATACAATGGACATGCATATGTCAAAGAACTGTTCCTCTACCACTGTAAGGTATTTGCCTATCTCCCTCATTAGAAGAGTTCCTTGAAAACCAGGCGTCCCCATACTTTTTACACAGGGGGCCAGTTCACTCTCCCTCAGACTGTTGGAGGGCCGCCACATACTGTGCTCCTCTCACTGACCACCAGTGAAAGAGATGCACCCTTCCTGAAGTGCAGCGGGGGGCTGGATAAATGGCCTCAGGGGGCCGCATGCGGCCCAGGGGCTGTAGTTTGGGGACGCCTGTTGAAAACTCTAACTGGATATACTTTGCTCTGCACTCAACACCTGTCTCTGGAGCTGCCCCATAATGGACACCAACTGCACAGATACTCAAGTGATTACAGCCATTTTCACCTGAAACACAATGTCCTATATGCTGCTGGGAAAAAAGCCATCTTGCAGCTGTGTCTAATTAAAAGCATAAGTAGAAGACAAACCCAGAACATCAGATGCTAGGTGTTACTACAGTCAAACTGAATTTATATTTTTGCCTCAATTTCTTCATATGTCTAAGCACCATTTCAAACCATAAAAAGTCTAACAAGGGTAATTGGTCATTCCTCCCCTGAGCCATGTTGCCCACCTAATCTTTTCATGCTCAACTTAAATCCTACCTTTTACATTTTCCCTCATGACCCCAGCTAGAAGCACATGCCACATTCTGCACCAACTACTTTTGATGCATTATCTCATTGAATCCTACCAAAAAGCCCTAGTAAGTTATCACTATGATACCCATATAAAAGATGAGAAAACCCAAGTTCAAAGAAATGAAGTCACCTGTCCAAAGTTAAAATAGAGTTCAAATTCAGGACGGACTCTGAACTCCATGTTTTTTAAACCCTATATTGCCTTTCTCTCTCCTCTCTCCAGCATTATAAACACTAAGTAGCTTACTATCTCAAGGGTTTGCTGTCACTTCACTTCTCTAGGCTTCATTTTCTTCAGCTGTAAAACAGGTGGTATTGCTCAGGATAGCTACCACAATACCCCTCCAGTCTTTATAGTATTATGAAAAAAAAAAAAGGTACAATTTTTTATCTACTCCACACAGGTTAATACACAAGAAGAGGCCTGGCACGATGGCTCATGAATGCAATCCCAGCACTTTGGGAGGCCAAGGCAGGAGGCTCATTTGAGGTCAGAAGTTCAAAGCCAGTCTGAGCAACGTAATCTTTTTCTTTTTAATTAGCCAAGTGTGGTGACACATCCCTGTAGTCCAGGCATCCCCAAACTACAGCCCGTGGGCCGCATGGAGCCCCCTGAGGCCATTTATCCGGCCCCGCCGCACTTCAGGAAGGGGCAACTCTTTCATTGGTGGTCAGTGAGAGGAGCACAGTATGTGGCGGCCCTCCAACGGTCTGAGGGACAGTGAACTGGCCCCCTGTGTAAAAAGTTTGGGGACGCCTGCTGTAGTCCCAAGCCAGGAGGCTGAGGTAGGAAGACTGCTTAAGCCCAGAGGTTCAAGGATGCAATGAGCTATGATGACACAACTGCACTCCAGCCTAGGTGACAGAGCAGGACCCTGTCTCTAAAAAAAGAAGGAAAAAATACACAAGAATTTAAAAATATATAAATAACCACTGTTAGAAATCCAAAGCAGTGAATTTCTACATCAAAGCAATAAAAACTCTAAAACATTATGCAAAACCATGAAACATTCTTGATTCCTTCCCCACTCATGTCTACCAAAGGTGCACTGAGTCCATTTTCCCACATATTATGAAAAATTGTTTTGCCTCAAGAAGTGTAAGGATGTGATCCTTAAAGCTTCTGGACTTCACCAAACAACCTGGTAAAAGGAAGTGAAAGCAGGCACTTGGCCTGTTCTGAGGTTAGCATGTTACTTTGTACAGGGCAAGCGCTCAATAAGCATTTATTGAATCGTGACACAAAATTTATTTTTTTTTTTGAAGTTTTTCAAACTGAAAACTTGTAACATGAGCTTTGTAATTGGCCTGATTGTGCAGTAAATCAAAACAATGTTACCTCACTGATCCTGCCAATAGCAAAACAAAAAGACCAATCTAATTAAGGTAAGGTTAACCAATGGCCAAGAACCCATGAAAGGAAAATGCCATGTTAAATTACTATTGCAATTAAGAGTCGGTTTTTATTTTAGAAATGCAAAATAATGATTTCTCTTTTTGTGCAGAAATGACCAACACCTCAACAGAGTCAGTTTATGTTGCGATCCAAACTAAGAACTACCAAATAAGATCCAGACATTTCTGGCCCAAGGTGAAAAGATATGGCAAGGGATTCAAAAACGAGCCACAGCAAACGTAAGGTAAACTGTGTCAAAACAGCAAAAGCTCTTGGAATCATCCTGGTCATAAGAGTTTGACAGTTTCATCTGAAACCCCTATTAATCGTTAAGTTTGAAATGAATAGTATATTCCTAGGTCTAGACTTCCACACCAGCAAATGGAGTTTAAGAATGGCTTTTCAAAACAATGGTCTCGTCAGGCTGCAGGGAAAAGAAGTGACTCCAGGCCTTCTGAGGTAGCAGCAGATACAGCAGTAGATCCAGACCTCAAGAGAAATGTAAAGGTGTCCTAGACTGAAAAATTACTATTGGGCAAAACTGTGTTTAGGTTTTCCAGAAGATTGTCTTCTTTAGAGAATCCTCAAACGATTCTTAGTTTTTTAACCAAGTCCACAAGAAATAGAAAGTCATCCATTTAGGGTAAGAGGTTCCTGTTACCAAGAAAACCGTGTCCGAAAGTGTAAAAATCTCACAATCTGCAAGAAAATGTATGTCCCTCAGGCGGCTTTCATTTTCAGGCGGAAAAATAAACCCGGTGTCACCTCAACAACGGAACCACACAAACCTCGCCATTACAAAACCCAAGGGCCAAAGGTGCAGAATGGGAAGCCAGAAGCACTGCGAGGCTAGGATCGAGTTCCCAGGAAGAAAAATCAAACTCAGGAGTGCAGCGCGGGCCGCTCCACGGCCCGGGGGCAAGGCGACCCGCGCTAGGCCCTTCCGGTCCGAGCCGCCGCCGTCGCGGGGAGGTCGAGCGACGGGTCGAGCTTCCACCCGAGCCCGGGGATTCGCGGCCTACCCTCGAGGGCGCCCTCTTGCCGGGCCTGGCACCGGCAGCTTCTCCGACTCTACCCCCGGCTAACAGCGGGGCCCGGGCGAGCCGCGGGGAGCCCGCAAGGGCCTGCGAGCCCCGGCTGGCCGCGTCGGTGCGGACACGGCGGCAGCCCTGAGGACCGCGGCCGCCCCTCCCCCACAGGCCCGGCCCAACCGCCGCGGCGACGCGAGCAGCGGCGCCAACGCCGGGCCCCACCGCGGGCCTGCTGCGGCCCGGGCCAGGCGGCCCGAAGTGGCGGCGCGGGCCTGCTCCCGACACCGACCGCGCGAGGCCGCCGCGGGCCCGTTACTCCTCGCGCCGGCCCGCGCCGCCACCCGTCAGGACGCGCCGCCCCTGGCTGGGGCAGAAGCGGCCGACAGCAGCCGGGAGCCGCGGAGCTGATACTTACTCAGGGGTCGGATGCTCCGGGTCGTAGAAATCCCCCATCTTCGGAGGCGGCTGCGACTGCAGCTGCTTCATCGGGAGCGGCTGGAGGCGGCGACGCGAGCCCCCTCCCCGCGGCAGGGCGACGCGGGGGAGGGGAGGGGAGGAGGCCGCAGGTCCGACCGCGGTGGTGGCGGCGGCGGCAGGGGCGGCCCGCGTCGCTAGCTCGCTCGTAGCTCCCTCCCTCCCTCCCTCGGACGCCCGCCAGCCGCTCTCTCCCTCTCACCCTCACACCGGGAGCGACGCACACCCCACCCGCCCCTTAGCTTCGCAGGCCCAGCCCCTTAAAGAGACACACACGGGCCCCCGCTCCGCCGCCAGTCGGCGTGCCTGCAGCTGCTGCTGGCTCAGGCGGGCGGAGCGGAACACTGCCCGGCGGGCCCGGGCCGACCCTGTCTCTGGCTCTCCGGAACAATAAACCCCGGGCCCCAGTGATGTGGGCCGGACCGGACCTGGAGAGGTGGCACCGCGATCCCGATCCCTCCCTCGGCCCGCCTGGCGGTCGGCGTTAGCGTGACCCGGCCCGCTACCGTGTCACAACAGGCGACTGAGAAACAGCAGACGACATCGGGAGAACTCCCCGTGCCTGCCGAGACAGCGGCATTCTCGCTCCGCGGCCCTGCAGGACCTGCCAGCCGGGAGCCCCGGAGTCCGCTGCAGCGCCGAGGGCCCCTCCCCCAGGTCTCTGGACTCTGAGGTAACGCGGCTGCCGCCGTTCCCGGGACTCCCGCCCCACTCGCCCCTCTCTTTTATATTTTTCCTTCTCGCCCTCTCTTCCCCTTGCCTCTTCATCTCGACCCTTCAGCAAGCATGGAAGCGCGGCGAGGCGGGAGATTGCGGGAAAGCCGAGCTCGCTCCCGGCGGTCCCCTCCGCCCTCCCACCTGCTGTGCCCTCGGGGCTCCCTCCACTCTGCGCGGCGTTCCGCCCCCACCCGAAGTCTCCAAGGCTGCAGCTCCCGTGTTTTGTGTGGCTCTTGGGGCCTAACAGGCAATGTCATTAAAAAGGGGTATTAATCACTTTTCTGCAGAAGTGACAAGATGAGATTAAGTAGGATAACTTGAAAGAGCTACGAGTTGTTAGTTATTTTTGGAAGAAGAGACAGGAACGCATAAATCCAATAGCGAAACTTCCCAGATGCTGAAGAATTCTTGGCGATAGAACATTTTGAAATTGGGGGTTCATAGGGTTAGCGTTTTTTGTGATTAGAATTTTGAATCGGATTGTGCCAGCAATTGGATGAAAGGATGTGTCTTCCAGTTGAGAAACGGTGGTTAAAACCTGAAACGTGGCCTTTTACCTCGTTGCCTTTCTGAGAGCAAGATGGGTCGCCAGCAGCTGTACCGGAGCCACCCGCGAAAATTCGGCCAGGGCTCTCGCTCTTGTCGAGTATGTTCAAACCGGCATGGTTTGATCCGGAAATATGGTCTCAATATGTGCCGCCAGTGTTTCCGTCAGTACGCGAAGGATATAGGTTTCATTAAGTTGGACTAAATGATCTTCAAAGGATTATCCAAGACACGAAAAAGACATGAAAAACCATGATAGTTCTTTGTACATAAAGTAAACATAAAAAAAAAAAAAAAAAAAAAAAAAAACTGAAACGTGGGCCGGGAACGGTGGCTCACGCCTGTAATTCCAGCGCTTTGGGAGGCCGAGGCGGGCAGATCACCTGAGATCAGGAGTTCTAGACCAGCCTGGCCAAATGCTGAAACCCTGTCTCTGCTGAAAATATACAGGGCATGGTGGCACGCGCCTGTAATCCCAGCTATGCGGGAGGCTGAGGCAGGCGAATCGCTTCAACCCGGGAGGCGGAGGTTGCACTCCAGCCTGGGTGACGGAGTGAGACTTCGTCTCAAAAAAAGAAAACAACAACAAAAAAACTGAAATGTAATATGAGAGAATAAACGTCCTTCAGTGGCTAACTTTTTAAAATAGCCTTTGCATGTATGTAGGCTACAGTGTCTATTAGTGTTTTATAATCATCGTTTTTCATTTAGGGATTATTTTGGTGGGTTTTTTTTTTTTGTTGGTTTTTGTTTTTTTCCTGGTACCTTTAGGGTCAGCATGGAAGTCCAGGTTCCATCTGACTCCCTAGGTTCGAATCTCCTAAGGCCGTTTCTTTACACACCGTGTTACTAATTTCCCTGTGGTTTTTCTTATTATAAAATGAGAATGTTGCTGTCGACTAGTCTTCTCACTGTTGCAAGGATTAAATGAACTATTTGTTAGAGCCTTAAACTTTCAGTAAATGTCAACATTCTTCAGCCACGATAATGCAGAGGTTAAGAACTAACTCTACCTGGCATTGTGTACCAGACACTTTCTAGCCCTGTGACATTGGCCATGCTTGCTTCTCATGCTTCCTGTGCCTCATCTGTAAATGGAGTATTAGCCACTGCACAGAGAATGTTGTGAACATGCTTTCACAGTGCCTCTCATTGAATAAGTGCCCTGTAAGTGTTATCTTTTGGGCTGTGAAAGAATAGATTGAGGCACTGTACCTTAGATGCCACATAGGCAGTTGGGAGCCACTTGACCTTGAACAGGCAGGAGCGGGCAATTTTTGGTGAAGGTGGTTGAAACAATGTAAGTGTGAGGTAGTAAGGACCTAAGCTGAGGTGAATGAGAAAAAAGCAGTCAGGTGCAGGTTTCCTATTTTCTTAACAAAGTAAGCAGTTCTCTTGCAGGAGGTACAACTGGGCACTGGAATGCCTGGTCTCATGGTAGCATTGGTTTGGTCAGAATACAATGCAATAAGCTTGTCAAACCATGCAAATCAGAATTCTAAGCCCCAAACAGAAGTAAATGTACTAGGTTTTTACAGGCAGTGTCTTCATCTATAATTGCATTCAGAGTTCTTTGGACTCATATTTTTAGTCAAAGAGAATGCATGCTTGGAGCACGTACTTGGGACTGGCCTCCTGATCAAAACTGTGGAATAATTTGGTTTTTGGTGTTATTAGATAGGACCTTCCCCTACTTTCTGCACATGTTTAAAGGAAAAATGTATAAAAAGTCCCAGCATGAAATATATGACACATTCACTCCCAGAGTGCTAAAATCACAAAAACCTTTATAATGTCGGCTGGGCACAGTGGCTCACACCTGTAATCCCAGCACTTTAGGAGGCTGAGGCAGAAGGATCACCTGAGATCAGAAGTTGGAGACCAGCCTGACCAATGGAGAAACCCCATCTCTACTAAAAATACAAAATTAGCCAAGCGTGGTGGTACATGCCTGTAATCCCAGCTATTCGGGTGGCTGAGGCAAGAGAATCACTTGAACCTGGAAGGTAGAGGTTGCAATGGGCCAAGATCATGAGATCATGCCATTGCACTCCAGCCTGGGCAACAAGAGTAAAATTCCATCTCAAATAAATAAATAAATAATAATAATACCTTTATAATTTCTCCTGTTACTGTCGTCTCCTGTGGGTCCAGACCACCTTCATCCCAGGGCATCCCAGGGTTGCCAGTGGTGACACTGAGAGAAAATCAACTCAGGCATCTCTGCCTTAGGGAAAACAAAAGACCAAAGGTCAATCACTCACCACAGATAGGCTCTGGGTACCTGGTAAAGGGTAGTAGAAAGAAGAAATCTAAGTTGGGCACAGTGGCTCATGCCTATAATCCCAGCACTTTCAGAGGTCGAGGCAGGCAGATCACTTGAGGTCAGGAGTTCAAGATCAGCCTGGCCAACATGGTAAAACCCTGTCTCCACTAAAAATACAAAAATTAGCTAGGCACGGTGGCATGCATCTGTTGTCCCAGCTACTCCATAAGCTGAAGCAGGAGAATTGCTTGAACCCAGGAGGCAGAGGTTGTAGTGAGCTGAGATCACACCATCACACTCCAGCCTGGGCGACAGAGTGAGACTCTGTCTCAAAAAAGAAAAAAGAAAAAAGAAATGAGGCCGGGTGCAGTGGCTCATACCTGTAGTCCTAGCACTTTGGGAGGCCGAGGCGGGCAGATCATGAGGTCAAGAGTTGGAGACCATACTGGCGAACATGGTGAGACTTCATCTCTACTAAAAATAAAAAAATTTGTATTTTTGTAACTGGGCGTGGTGGCACGTGTAGTCCCAGCTACTCGGGAGGCTAAGGCAGAAGAATCCCTTGAATCTGGGAGTTGGAGATTGCAGTGAGCTGAAGGTTGCAGTGAGCCAAGATCGCGCCACTGCACTCCAGCCTGGCGACATAGCGAGACTCCATCTCAAAAAAAAGAAATGTAGTTGGGGTATGAGAGCCCAAAGCACCCATTGATCCCCTGTGTACATTCTCCAAAACTATTGTTACACAAATTTTTGAGGTCATATGTTGACCAGACAGTTCTTAGGATGGACACAGTGGGGAAATGGTTAAATCAAGACAGCAAAGTACCCTGAGGTGTCATTGGGCGGTGCCTGTTTTCCATGTGTCCAGGCCAAAGTTCTGGTGCCTCAAATGGGAACCTGGCTAAGGATCTGAGGAGAAAAGGTCACTCCCCCTTGAATCCACAATCTGGAGCTGAATAGGGAAGCCACCCCTACTGACTTACTCTTGCCTCTTCCCATTCCTCTTCCCTCACCAAATCCTTCCTCCAAATGAGGATTATCAGAGTACTGATTGTACTACCCAAGAGATGCCCATTTGCCAGAAGGAAAGCAAGAATGACAGTGATAACAAGGCCCTAGGCTGGACAGGGCAGTGTGGGAAACCATATGTGTACACATGTGCTGCCACAGACACCCTCACCTTGGCAGTCAGGCCTTTTCCTGGTGACCATAGCCTATAGTTAATAGTGGCCTGCTGATGAAAGGTTGAATTTCGTATCAGAGAGACACTTTGGAGGTACCCATAATTTCAGCTAATCAGGAGGCTGAAGCAGGAGAATCACTTGAGCCTGGGAGGTGGAGGTTGCAGTGAGCAGAGATTCCCATCACTGGACTCCAGCCTGGGCAACAGAGCAAGACTCTGTCTCAAAAAAAAAAAAAAAGAATAAATAAATATTTTCTCCTTTGTAGCATAGAAAAATTTACCATCAACATCTTAGCATTTGGGGGAGTGGGAAATGAGATAATGTCTGAAAAAGTACCTAATGCATGTAAACTGATAACCATACAACAAAAAATTGACTACCTGATAAATTTAGGTAGATATATGAGGCTCAATGCAATTGAATATTTATATTTACTTAGAATACAGAATAAAGGCAGCGTAATTTAGAATAATGGTTATTTAAACTGTTCCACACAAATCTACTCATTCACATACATTTTATTATACTACATTGTTACAATTGTTCTATTAACTACTGTTAATCTCTTAGTATGCCTAATTTATAAATTAAACATCGTAATTATGTATATACAGGAAAAAAAGTACATTTAGGGTTTCAGGCATCCACCAGAGGTCTTGGGACCTATCCCTTGCAGATAAGGGGGGTACTACTGTAATTACAACTAATTTTTATTCATGTTTATTCTGTACATCCCAACACAAGGTAAAAGGAATCTAGAAAGCAATGCACAACCTACATTGAGCTCCACCTCCTATAATTTCTATTACATGTTATTTATATCAAGTCAGCACCCACCTGCATAGTATTATGATACTCCGTAGTTGTTTTTTCTGTATGGACAGGCTTTCTGTTCCATACTGCTTTGTTAACAGATTTTAATTACATGATATGATACTTACCAACTTTATAAGTTTGTTGTAAGCAGAAGCAATCTGTCTGTCTTTTGTATTTTATACTGTTTGAGGGTGTAGGTGCCAAGTGTTGAATGCATAATTACTTTGTTACTTCTGAAAACCTTACTTTTTGATTTATTAATACTTTGCTTTTTACCAATTCCTTTTTTGTTGTTGTTGTTGTTTTTTCCAGGGTAATACATGGAATACCAATTCTTTTTCTTAGTGGTGACATTGGATTTTTCTGTTAAGAATAGATTGTTGGAGTTGGCTAACAACTTGATGCTTTTCAGTCAAGCAGTCTCTTCTGTAAAGTCTCCTTTTTAAGCTCCTACAAGCAGCTATTTCACTGGACTTGAAAGGACTGATTTAAAAGAACCACACACTGTAACTCCCAAGTACAGGAATATTGTTATTAAGTAATTTTTTTCAATATGTATTAACCTTGTCTTCCCTACAATTTTCAAATATTCAGAGAGGTGATTGTGGTGTATGTTTTATTCTGTTTTGCTTTGGATCTTGCCCTTCTAGAGAATTCAAAGCTTCTCAGTGCATCTTCCCTCCCAAACTTGTCTTACCCAGCAGAGAATGAATATGCTCAAGATTATCCCACTTTTGCAGATGAATAAACCAGTGATTCCAGAGATTAGGGTACATATCTAGAGTCACATGACTAAGAAATGGTAAAGCCAGGATTTTAGCCGGGTTATCTGATTCAAGACATTTTCAGATAAAAAAATCTGGAGTTTACCACCAACAAGAAATTATCCCAGCCTGAGCATCTCAGCCCATACTGGGAGTGCTGGGTACTAGAAAAAAAATATTTTATTTTAAATAGTAAATAATTTTATAAAAAAGAAATGATCCCTTATACAAGAAAGAATGATATATTGGCAAATAAGTGATTAAAACTAAAAA